GGAGCCTCCCGCCCCCACCCGACCCTCGGGAGCCCTCCGGTGGGGCCCTGGACCTTCCTCTTTCCCCTCCCTTAGCAGCCCCGGCTACTCGCCAGCGCCCCCGCTCGGACCCAGCCTCACCAGCCCCGGGGCCCGGGGCCCGCCACGCTCACAGCGCCCTCAGGCATCGCGCTCGGCGATTTCAGCTCCGCGGCCGCAGCGGCGGCAGCAGCTATGGCGGCACAAGCGGCTCAAAACGCGAAGTAGCGCCGAGGCCCAGCTCCCGCCGAGGCAGGCGGAGCGGAGGCGAGAGGGTGCGGTCTGCAGCCGAGGGCGTTCCTGGAGCGAACGAATAAGGTGTGTGGGGCGGAGCCCGTGGGCGGGCCAGGAGGCCGGGACCTGTGACTCGAGAACCGCGATCCCGCACGTCGTCGTGGCGGGTATCCCTCCCGGAGAAAGGTCGGCACAGCTCGGCTTCGGACTGGAAAGAGCCAGGCCTTTTATGGTGTGAGAAGGCCTGGTTCCCCGGGAAAGTGCACTCCCCAGGGCCCCAAGACGGCAACTACGCCCCAGCGGTGTCAAGGTTGGCATCTGATAGGCCCGAAGGACCGGAACCGAAACGAACTCCTCGCTCAGAATTACAGAACTGCGACACAGCCAGAGGCTCTGCTCCGCGTCGACCCCAAGCGCTGGTACTCCGAGCGGTTACAATAGTTGTTCGCCGCCACCCGGCGCGTTAACCTACGTGGAGATGACTCTGGAGCAGCGGTCGCCAACCGGTGGTCCGCGGAACACCGGGGGTCCCTGAGGTCCGAAAGGTTGGCGACCGCTGCTAAAGTTTCCGATTGCTAAGAAGTGTTACTAATTGGGCAACCTAATTGGCCATGTTGGGAGAAAGGGGAGGAAGAGGATTGCCTTGGATAGAGCGTTAGGCATGTGGAGGAGGAAAAAGGAAAGTGTATGTTCCTATGAGAGATTTGTTTCAAGGTTTCTTTAACCTTCCAGGTCCCATCGCGCTCTCACCCCGCGTTAACCAGGACTTTTGTTGCTCCAGTGCTTTTCCTTATTCCTATCAAAATCCACTCGTAAACTTTTCCCCTATTATTGTACTACTTTTGTGAGGTCACTGTCAAGCTTGCTAACTAGTTGTAGTAGAGTTTTAGCTTTTGCTCATGGGAGTTGAGGGCGTGCACAGAAAATAACTTTACAGTATTATTCCACAGGTGTCTCTGCATTGTTTATTTTCTAGGAGTCTTTCTGCCTCGTTAGTTCTTCAAGAAATTGCCTTATGAAAAGGTAAGCCCAAGCCAGAGAAATAGTACGAAGCATTTGTCCCAACCTATCCAGATCCTTGGAACACTTGGACATGGAAGAGTGAAGAACCCCTAAACCCTTTATATGCAAGGCACTGTAGGACAGCTGAGGGTGGGTCTTGTACGGCCAAGTGGCAAAATAGGTATGTTCTTGTGTGTATTCTACATTATAAAATCAAGGCTGTTAGGTATGTACTTGTGTGTACTCTAACCATGCTTTAAAAACAAGATCTGTAAAGCTCACAGATCAAGAAGTGGCCTCCTAGAAGACAAATTAGCAATAGCTGCCAGAGGCATGAGACTTCCCTTTCCCTTCCACCATGCACTGCAGGTGTAATGAAATTGTAAAATGATATTCACACATTCCCCAAATCTGGAGGAAGAAGACAAGAGTCGGGAAATGGGAGTTAGTCCATTTGACTCCTTCCTAGTCTGTCATTTTACAGTGGTAGGAGCCAATATAACACTAATAAATGGTGCCACCTGGTGTCCTTACTTGTGTGCTGCATTCCCAACAACGGCCATAGAAGTGGTCCCTATTTCTCTCCAGATCACTTTTTTGCCCACTAGTGGTTTTCTCACTCATGGCCAAGTAAAATGGGTTTACAGAGTATCACTGCTCATTCCCTGTCCAGTGCTACACTCGTTTATCTCCGTAGAGAAAATGTTTCCCAAATTACTCTCATCTGAAGCTGAAGTTACAGAGGCAAATTCAAGCTCTGCTTTTCAATGTCTAAGATTATCAAGCTGAAAAGCAACTTAGTATTAAGTTCAGATACTTCTAGCCTAGAGCCAAAACCACATTTATCTTTAATTCTTCACAATTTAGTCAAACCTTTATTGTCTAGGTACGTACCAGGCAGCCTTTGAAGTGCCAGTATGTGAATAGAGCTGTTCTCAAGCTTCATGAATTCCTCAGAAAATAATAGTCCCAGGCCCAGTGGAATGGAAGCCTTATTCCTTTTTTCTCCAAGTTAAATTCTTGCCACCCCACTCTTCACAATGCAGTTGACCATCCACACACTATTTCACTTTTTATTCTGCTTGTGTATGTCCTAAACATGTATATGGTCGTCACTCTTAAAAAGGAGCCTAAGAAAAGATGTATACACTTGTCTGTTTTGCACTATGCTCATTAGACCAGATTTTAAAAATTCAGCCTAGATTTAACATGCCAATAGGTGCACTTGTAAGATCATTGAAAACTAACAAGCTATAGTAACTTACCAATTCAAATATTTATTTAGCACCTTTATATGCAAGGCACTGTAGGACAGCTGAGACCAATGCTTGCAGTTGGAAACAGGATGAATCTCAAAACAGTGCTTCCAAGACTGCATTCCTACTTAAACTCTAAGAGCAGAGTTTACTAGAGCGAATTTAGTAGAGCTTAGATTTGTCTCAGAATTAGATTTGTCTCAGAATTCCCAAGTCAACCCAGTTGTTAATCATCTCATCATATACCACACACACACTTGCATCACTATTACTCAACATTTACATCTTTTGTAGTTCAAATTTAATATACAATTATACCTCAAGTTATCAAAATTCTAATTTCAAAAATGCATTTTTGACCAATCATTTGTTTCCAAATGGCAGTGAGGCCATGTACCTCATCTTTAATTTTTTCTGCATCCAGCCATTCATGGTCATGTAAAATTTTATTGGACACTAGAGGCCTGGTACACAAAATTCATGCACCAATAGGGTCTCTAGGCCTGGCCAGCAATCAGGGCCAATTGGGATCTTCCAGCTGCCAGCAGGGGCCTTCCTTCATTCTGCGCCACCCTCAGTGGTCAGCAGAGTCATAGCGAGTGATCTAACTCCCAGTCTCCCAGAACTCCCCAGGGGGCACTTTGCATAATATTTATATGACTAGAGGCCCAGTGCACAAATTCATATACCAGTGGGGTCCCTCGGCCTGGCCTGCGGGATCAGGCAAAAGCTGCTCTCTGACATCCCCTGAGGGGGCCTGGATTGCAAGAGGGTGCATGCCAGGCCAAGTGACCCCATTGGTGCACGAGTTGGGCTGGGGAGGGACACGAGAGGTTGGCCAGCCAGGAAGGGACTGCAGGAGGGCTCCAGGGTGTGTCCGGCCCATCTCGCCAAGTCCTGATTGGCTGGACCCCAGCAGCAAGCTAACCTAAGTCAGCATCTGTCCCCTGATGGTCAGTGCACATCATAACAACTGGTCGGCCAGTCAACTGTCTGCCCCCTGGTGGTCAGTGCATGTCATAGCAAGTGGTTGAGCGGCCTTAGCATATCATTAGCATATTACGCTTTGATTGGTTGAATGGCCAACCAGAAGACTGGATGCTCAGCATATTAGGCTTTTATTATGTAGGGTAATACATTAAATATTGATGCTCTTACAAGTACTTGCTTCAAAATCAGCAATTTTGTGCAAGAAATGTATTCTGATTCTTGGTTATCATTCTCTATAAAATAAAGTACCTGAAAATGTGCCTACTCTGTGCATTGCTTTTTTAAAAATCTTCTGGGAGGAATAAGGGTTATCCATTTTTAGATTCATCTTAAAAGTGCATTTATCTCTCAATTCACCTGACACCATTCCATTAGACCCATGGTCAGCAAACTGCGGCTCGAGAGCCACATGCGTCTCTTTGGCCCCTTGAGTGTGGCTCTTCCACAAAAAGCCTGACTTCTGCGCATGGGCCGCGAAGTTTCAGTCACGCTGTACGTGCACACCTGCACGTGGTATTTTGTGGAAGAGCCACACTCAAGGGGCCAAAGAGTCGCATGTGGCTCTCGAGCCGCAGTTTGCCGACCACTGCATTAGACTATCTCAACCAGTATAATTAGGGAGGTGGGGAGAAATTATACCACTGAACTGCCCAAATAATATATGGATTGTCTGCCTTCTGTATTCAAAACATTTTCAAACACTATTGAGAGGCCTACTGTCGGGTATTTCATCCATAATTCTGGGGAAAAAAGACTTGCATTTACTATAAAATTACACAACGTAATTTGTTTATATAACTGGACTTGATCTGTGACCTAGAGTCGTTCAATCTAAAGGATTTCTTTAATAAAAACATTTTTATAAATCGTGATACTAGTTTACACATATCTTAATTTAAGATCATCTATTGTGTCCTGGCCAATGTGGCACAGTTGGTTAGAGCGTCATCCTACCATACACCAAAAGGCTGTGGGTTCTCTCTCCCTTCCACTCTCTAAAATTATTTTTAAAACAATTTTTTTAAAGATCATCTATTGTCCTTACCTGCTAAGATGGTGTTTATGTCCTGTTATTACCAATAGCGAAGGGCATATTACCCTCACACACATTGGTATTATGAGGCTAGCCTTTCTTCACTGTAGAACAATTTCTTGATATATACTTGCCGTCAAGTTGTACAAAATTTTGAAGTCTCCATGTAAAACATGCTTCAAGAATTAGAACACCAAAATTCCCCCAAATGGCATGTCAAAATTTTTGAAAACAGTAAGGAATTCCTTATGATAAACCTACTTCAGTGGCACCTCTCTCAAATATGACTCGAAGCATTAGGATTCTCTACTCCAACCCAGCACAAACTGCCCAACACCAAGACCTGCTTTATTTATTATAACCGATTTATTTCTTTCAAGTTCACACATTCTGCCTTCCACTCACCAAACTTCTTCTGTTCTTGGATTTCTAAAAAAATAGTCATTTTTCAAAAGCAGAAAAGGAAAGATATATATATTTAATATATAAAAGAAAAGGCTAAATCTGACATAATTATATTCTTAAAAACATTCCATTTATTTACAGATGTATAAAAAGGCGAATTATTGGTCTACTGAGATCATGCTTCTTATAGAGTTAGGGTGAGCGCTCACTATTCTCCAGATTCCTCAATTTCTCTTGCTCAACTACATCTTTCATAATCACACATGTAATTTTCATAGATCAGTTTCTCCTGGGGTAAGGTTAAAGGGTAAAGTTTTTGGATTTTTTTAAGTTTCTGTCAAACTTCAGGATTGTTCTGAAGACTGAGCCCTCCTCAAAATAGCCCTGATATCTTCTTAACTCTAAGAGGTCTTGAAAACACCATGATCTTGGGGGTTTGCAATGACATCTGCAGCCTTCCTTGAACACCGGGAATTACCTCTTATTTCCATGTTATTACAACTCTCAAAAATAGTCAAATATCTTTCCATTAAGAACTGACTACTACTACCTGTTTGTCTATAAAAAAGGGAACAGTGTTCAGAAGCAGAATGGTCCTTCTTTTCCTGAGGATTATCCACTCACTTGCCTGTTCCTTGGCTGACTCTCAAAAGGCGTAACAAGAGCTTTGGGAAGTCAGGAGGAAATGTGAGGACAAGATGAGCAAGGAAATAATGGGAAACTGCTATACCTAGATTAAAGTACTAGCATCTCCAAGGACAATTATTAGCAGGGAAGACAGGTGCTGGACTCCTTGGCTAAGGCATGAATGAAATCTGCTGGGTAGAGGGGAGTGGGAAGGATAATGAGAAGCACTCATTACCTACTTCAAGCTTCTTCAGTAACCTTAGAGGAGGGAAAGCTGAATGCTAGATGAGCAAGGTGTAGAAAGGCAAGTAGCACAAAACAAAGAATTTGCTCCCACTGCAATTTGCAGAGGAAAATTTTCCACCCTTTTCCATCTGTTGATTACCAGAGTTACTAGAAAGGGAACCAACCATGAAAGTAGTAATTTACTGGCTAGAACTATTCCAAAGTTGGTCTCACAACCTAGGTCTGAAGATACACTGAATGGGATTTGGGATAAAGGCGGCAGGGGATGTAGAAGAAATAGCATCACCTAGGCACAGCCCAGGCACTGGAAGCTCTTGTGTTAGTGTTTAACAACACAAGCAAATCCTGTCAATGAAGACAGAACATGGGTTACATTCCAAAATATAATTATTTAAGAAAGGCAAAATGTAGCAGCTAAATCCCAGTCTATACATTTTCAGAATAGTGATTCTTGCCCCCGGGAGTTCCCAAGAGACCCCTCAAGTGCACCATGATTATTTACAAACTAGATAGGAAACATCATTTCTATACTCAATACAAATCTCTTCTTCTAGGTTGAAAACTTCAGCCTTTGAGAAATCTATCAAAACAACTATACAAAAATATAAATATCTTCATCTTTACAGGCTGTCAGTCCTTCATACCCTGACAGCTGAGTGAAAAAGCTCTACAGATCATTGAATCCATGGTAGCAGATAATAAAAAATATATCTTGATTCAAATACTGCCTGATTTCCCTGGTAAAGAGTGCCTTCTGTGACTTTTCTTTACTTCACATCCTGTGCAGGTAATGAATGAAACCTTCAAGCACCAGGAGGCTGGTTTGCTTTGGGAAATATCCAGCCCCACAGTTTTTTATTTTGGCCAGTCTCTGGTCTCGGGAGGGAATGCTTTTCATTTTAGTTATCTCCTGAGTGACATGATTTGTGAAGGGGTAGGGCTCCCTCTATGCCTACCTCCAAAATATATATTCCAGGTGAAAATCCCTGGTCCTGTGAAATGGTCTTTTCAGTGCCCGAGACAATAAGGGAGAACTAGGTTTTTGTGTGTGTGTGTGTGTGTGTGTGTGTGTGTGTTTTTTAACATCTCAGAATAATTACCTTAGTAATAAAAGTTAAAAGCATTCCTAATTTGCCAAAAGACTTGGATTGATAATTCTTATTGACAATGTGAAGGAATGGAAGTTGTCTGGGATATGAAAGAGAGAATTTTGCTGAATGCCGCAAAGTATTCACTTTGGTATTCCATGTTATCCCATTCCTCTCCACCTGCTTTTAAAACACCAACTGGAAACTCTCTTTTCTGGATCCTTCTGCACTAGTGCATCACCTCCCTTGGATTTCACACCTAAACTATAGCTATCAAACTACAGTTCAGTCCATAGCAGGTCTGAAGTCTCAAGCAGCTTTTTATCTCGTAGGGAACTAGAAAACCACTATGGATCTAGAATCTTATGAATTCCTTAGGTGAAAGGAACACCTCATGTTCAGCAATGGATCAATCACATCTTAGAGAGGATGAGGAGACCCAGCACCACAAATGAGGTAACACATTTTAACATGATTAGAATTTCATAATAGTAATTTCTTACACCAAGGTCAGCAACCTATCCCTTTCTCTACCATTATCCACTGCATCGAAGTCAAGGATCACAGTTCCATGACACAAATAAACAGATGCCAGCAGAGAAAGGAGGTTTCCCCTCACAGCCTGGCTTCTGCCTAAGGACCATTAAGTTCATTTCCCTGCAGAACTTGATGAGGCCCCAGAGTTGCCCAATTTGACCGCAACAGGTGCCAATGTAGGCATCACCTTGCTCTCCCGGCTTTCCTGGTCATTCCCTATTAAGTTTCTTTTGTGTCCAACTGACCCAACTTTGGCAGCTACAGGTGCCAAACAAGGCATCACCTTGAGACTCTGACAATCTGCATCACTGGAAGGATTAGCTACTTTTAAACCCAGAGGTGCCAACTTTGGCATAGGCCTCCACAAAGTATCTGTAATGCTGTTCTCTAGGCCAGCCTTCATGTGTAGAATGGGGGGTGAGGAAATATTTTCAGACTCTGCAGGGATACTAGAAGTACCCTTCCCTCCATCACTGACTTTCCTGTGGGAAATAGGGGAATCCTTTATCTCCGAGTCAATAACAATCTTAAGGACATCTGGCTCAGAGGCTGGTTCTACAATTTGTTTTTCATTCTCAGAAAAGTCATCATCTTCCAAGTGCAAGAGGAGGGGACTGGCAGAGTCACTCTCTCCTTGTACATCAGGCAACTCTTTCACACCAGTACCCAAGTGGCCAATCTGGAAACTTGCTCTGTTCCCAGGAGGATGCTTACTGATGAAAGCCTGTCGAGCATCCCCTGGGAACTCTGTGTCCATAGAGCTGGGCAGTTCCGCCAGGCTAACAGAGTCATCATTTAGTTGCTGATTAAGAAAGGCAATCTCATTGAGCAGAGAAGTGAGTGTCTCATCAGTATCATCCTCATCTTCCATGTTAGTTAGCAGTTCGCTGGGATCCAGTGCTGCTTCCTCTATAGCTGATGCTGCCTTTCTTAGTTCCATCTCTATGCTTGAGTCTTTCAGATCTTTCACTTTTAATTTATGAAATGAAGACTCCTTTGGCTTCAGTCTCTCCCGTCTTGATCCACTCTCTTTCCATTTATACTGAATCCCTCTCGTATTACCAGAAATCCTTTTGGGTAAGAGCTCTTGTGCTTCTTGCACACTGGAAACATCAACCATTTGTGGAAAAACAGAATCTTTATGTGCTAGAAAACCCTGTGTTGGACCCAATGCCATTCTGCCACCTCTATGGTTGCCTCTGGAAGAGATTCTACCTGAATCTTCAAAGGAGCTATCTTCACTCCTGACACTGTTTTTCAGGTGGTCAGGTGACTTGCCATCAGGAACTTCATGAGAATATTTGCTGCCACTCGATTCTACCAAACCTCCTTCTGTGGCCAGGGATGTCACATTAACAATTCTTGGCATCATAAATAAGTCATCATTTTCTAGGAGAGAAAAAAATTTCATTTAGATCTACAGTAGTAAGCATCTCTCTCATTCATACCCAATGACCATTTGGAAAATTGTAGTTAAAATTCCAGTCTAGAGGAGAAACCAAGATGGCGGCATAGGTAAACACCGGAAATTGCTGCCTCCCACAACAAATTCAAAAATACAATGAAAAGACAAAACGGACATCATCCAGAACCACAGGAAGGCTGGCTGAGTGGAAATTCTACAACTAGAAGGAAAGAGAAAAGCACACTGAGACTCAGAGGAGGTGCGGAAGTGCAGAGATACGGAGGCGCACCCGGCAAGGGCTGGCAACTGAGGACGCGGCTGTCTTTTTGAATTGGGAGGGAGTCTCAAGCCCCCGACTGCTCTGAACTCCAGTTCCAGGTGAGTCTCTGGGGACCCAAACTCTTACGGGGAGAAACTGGACTGTCTGGCATCAGTCGGAACTCGGAACTCGGAACTTGC